ACTCACTGCCTGGCAAAGAACTGCAATTTAGACTATTTTGGGAACGGTAAAGGCAAGAATATCTTTATGTTTAAAAAACAGAAGTTTTTTTTTTTTTTTTAAGCTTTGTTTCCTGTACTGAGTTTTAATGGAGGAAAAAAAAAAAAAGAAGAATTTGCACACCAAAGCAGCTAGCCAAAGGTAAAAGTTACATTCAGAAAAGGAAAACTGATGGCCTGTGTCAGCTAATACACATTTAGTAAAAGTTTCTAACTAGCACTCAGTCTGTAGGAGCAATGAAGACTGACATTTAAAACCATACCACATTATCACATTGTAAGCAACACTCACCTATAGGTTTCTACATACCCAGACAAAAGTTGATTTTGAAGGTGTTAAACTCTAAGTGTTTTAAAACCAATAAATTTTTAACTTAAAAAAGCCATGGTCATAGCTGGTTTTTTTTAATAAGAAAATAATGACAGACTAAGTTCTAGGTGTGAAAGCCATTATTCACGCTTATGCCCATATACTTTATTTGTCATTGGTGACTGACTGATTCAATTATTTTAATATTCTTTAGCATAGCTGCAATGACAATTGAATGCTTGTGCAAACACAGTACAAACTTGCACGTGGACAATCCCTTAGTCTGAACAACTCTTGTTCGCAGCAGCACTAAGGGTACTAGCTAATGGGTTTTGAAACATGATTTCTAGCACGCAAGTATTAGATACTTGAGTATACGTACATCTTTCGCATAGCAATTCTGGCAGTGTTTTCTTACAAGCAGGTCTTGGTATGTTTTTGCCTCAGTAGATGCACTCTATTTCTGGGTCTTTTGACCTTTCTTCCTATGCAGGCTACATGATCATGGACAAACTCCTGCTCAGTTCTGTAGATATTTTTTCCTCATTTTATGCAGAACTTTTGAGAAATGCTCTGCTGGAAGCCTTATAGCACTCTGCAATTTTAGCTTAAAGAATTTTATGGATCAATAGAAATACTCATTGGAACTATTACTGATTGATAACTGGGAAATGAAAAATTACAGCAATTCAGGAACAACCTTTCTCTCCTTTTCTTCAAAGCTCTCTTTTGAGTTACAACATGATATATCCTCACTGATCTCAGCAGAGAGATTCTTTCAGCTTTGGATTAGGCTACATCCTACAGGCAATGAAAAAAAACAGCCCCCAAACGTAAGTTTACATATGTTTTATGCAATGAGGACACTTTCCTATGTTTAGCAAGATGATGGTATCATTTTCTGTTGCTTCCTGCATTCATTCACACTGAAGCCGGAACCCAGGATGTCATAGTTACATCACACAACGATGGAAAGACTCTTATAGTAACTAATAGTAACAATGGATTGCTTTTTATCAATGTGACCCAGGCTAATTTCTACAATATGATGTAAAACGCAAAGTGGACTCTTTTCAGTTTCCTTTCTCAGCAGTTCTCCCTTTCCTGTCTTTAGCGTAAGTCATACTGCCATGGTAGTTGTGATACTCAGAATAGAAAATGGAAATAAAAAATTCACGAGCAGGCAACAAAACCAAATGACACCCAACATGCGTGCAGCATGGTTACTCTTCAATACACTTCAGAGATGCTGTGCCAAGCTAACAGCAGCTGATTCTGGGGGCAGGGCCAGCAAGCGTGGAAACAGGGTCAAAAAGCGAGGAGCTGGCAAGGTTTCTGTACCAGGATTAATGCAGGAGAGGGCCAGACCTTCTGGGAGTGAGCTCATGTCTGAGCCAAGGACAACCAGGAGAGCTGCTGGGAGAGGGGCAACAGTGGCAGGGGGCCTAGAGATACTGGAGGTGCTCTTTAAGCTGGCTTGGGAAATAGCTGTGATTGTGGCTGCCAGGTCCACTTGAGCTGCCTCCAGCACAGCCCTATTTGGAATCATCCAGTAACATATGGCAGCAAGCATCGAACCCATATTCACAGAGATGGAAAATCAGAGGCGTGACAGTGTGGCATTTTCACAAGTATCTCCGTATTTTTTCAGGCAAGATATCTGGGGATCAACAAGAGTTTTATCTTAAAATAGGTACCTCAGAAACTTTCACCCTACCTGTCTGGCTTAATGTGCAAAAGAAGCCAGTATCACAACAGAAGCTAGACTGATGGAGTTTCAGAAAACTAGCATGTACTTATCCTTCAGTAATCAGTCATGATTTAATTTAGAACCAGTAATCGGTAATTGATTACTTGTACAAAGTAGCCACAACAATTTCAATCCTGGCTGGAAAGCAATTGTTTTCAGAGACACAAGTAACTTCAATTGCAGAGATGGTTTTAGAAGCAGCATTATAATATGGGATAAAAAGCCAGGAACACAGAGAGTAAAGCACACTGCTGCATTAAAAGGAAAATAAAAGCCTCCAGAAACTTACCACTGAGGTAAGAGCCATCTGAAAACTGTAGATTCGTGCAAGGCCAAAGTCAGCTAACTTTATCTGCCCGCTGCTGGTTACAAGGATATTTTGGGGTTTCAGGTCCCGATGCACCACACGATGTGAATGCAGAAAATCCAGTCCCCGAAACAGCTGAAGCATCATATCCTAGATATAAAGAAGAAATCAATATGCAATTATCAAGACAAGGTGGCAAACAAGTAAACTCCCTGTCATAATCTGCAAAACTAATTTAATAAATATTGACTTAAATATGTGCACAGGAGATAAAAACAACTATTAATATAAAATGGACAGGATGTTGCTAGAACCAGCTGATTCGAACAGGTATCCTTATCAAGTTAATGTATTGTTTCTCATTGAATTATTTGAGGTTGATTGATAGAAGTATAAAGACTGGTCAACATACTTAAAAGAAATAGCAAAAGTATGTCTGTAAATCCCAGGACAACTTCAAAAGAATGCTGTCCAAGTAAGAAAAATACATAGCAGCTTTTTGCTCTTAACTTTAAACCGCACACCACTTTGCATCTCACGAGTTTATGCTTTGTCCTGCCCCAGTGAAGTGAAATTTTATTATTCGCTTCAACAGGCACAAGGATCTCTTTCAGTCAGAAAAGCTGTTTAAGGGACAAATTCACCAGGATTTAATGTTATAGAGGGAAAAAGTTTACTTGGCAAAACCTGTTGTATAGAATTTACTGAATAGGACAGAAACTACCTTTAGATCAAAGTTTAGCACTAAATCAGTGTAATAATCATAAGTAACAGTTCTCATTTTGCTTTCTGTTTTGTTACAGTGATGCAATCTTCTACGACATTTCCACAGCTGAAGAAACTATTTCACCTGAACTCATGTTTTCACATTTATCTTAGTAACGTGAAAGGAATGAATGAACAGACTCAAAACTAAATACTAGAAATCCCCTGAATTTCAAATTAGAAGGATATTGTCAACTTGAAAATTGTATTTGCAAAACAGGCAGTTACAAGAAGATGCTGCAACAAGTGAGAAACAAAAAGGATAAAGAAAAAGTTTATATTCTGTATGCACTTGACTTGAGTTCATGAAACTCCAGCTCTGTGTTTGTTGGTGACATATGCCCTTTCCATAAGCCACGCAGCAGGGTGTCTGCCAATCCTGTTATTAGCAACCAAAATGATCTTGGAGAGGTGAATGGCATGAAACGTGAGAAAAGGAAGAAGGATAAATTGAAGTTGGTTGCTTTTGTTCTTCTCTATGGACTTGGGCATGTTACAAGTAAATATTCAAGGCACGCTATTAAAAGGAATGATATCTGAAAATGGGTTTAAAAATAGCTCAAAACATTCAACTTGATAATATTGCTTTAGCTGGATGCGTTTTTAAGATACACTTTATAAACATTGCTATATAAGTTAAAACAAAATTATTCTTTTCATTTAATGTTTCCTGATCATCTCTACAGAAAGTGTTATAAAATGTGTAGATATTAAGGCTGGAAGCTCTAATCTGACCTCTGATAAAACATGGCCATTTCTATATATAGTCTATAATTCTGCCAAACAGTAGTAACAGTGGGCTGCTCATAAAGTAATCAAGTTTTATTTGAAGACCCTGATTATGGAGATATTACCATGGAACTATGGATGCTGTGACAGCGTTTAATTATTATCACCTCTGAAGGATGGTGGTAAACTGAGAAACCCATTCCCTGTTAGCTGATGCCGTTTATTCCCTTTGCTTCCCCAGGAAAAATTGAGATTTTATAATTTTGATAACTAGTATAATAAACCACTTCAAAACAAATATACAAAGTGTATTGAATCCTCTTATATTTATGTAATTTCCCTTTGCAGTTCAGAAATATTTGGAAGAGCTAGGGCTACAGCTCTGCAGGATTCAGTCATCAGTAGAATTAATACATGTCATATCTGCTCACTCTGTGCTATTATAACTGAAATCAAATCCCAATGGTCTTTGGATCAGTCTTGAGGATGTAAAGAACACACCAAGAACATTTAAGCAGGTGACTATCTTAAGTATGTACTTAATGGTTTCACTGAATTTGGGTCTAATTTTTTTTTTTTATTCCAGGTAGACGTAATATCAGATAAAATAAAAAACATAATTTAAAGAACTTAAGGATTAGTCAGTAGACCCTAGTCAGTCCTTTTTGGTGACATTTCTGTATCCTATTCATTTGTCAAGTATGTAAACTCATTCCTGCAGTTACCAAACATATCAAGAATATTTTTTTCCTACAACTGATGCTTGTTTTGTTTCGACTTTCTTCTTTGAGCTCAGCAAATGCAATTCTGCTCTGCTAGTTGCAAGTTGCAAGCAATGTCTTCAGTTTCTAAATTCAGAGTCTTCTTCCAGGCACAGGTAAAAAAAGAAAATATTTGAAAATGGAAACTGGCATATCTTTCCCTCCCCCATAGGACTCAAAACGTGAATATCATTTACTGGAGTTCTCTTCACACACAAAGAAGTGAGATGTGCCTCAGAAAAGTGTACCAGGAAAGTGTAAATTTAAAAGGTATTAGAAAGCAGAAGGAAAACTGGGGAAAAAAGTGCTATATTTCCTCTTCCAGGAAATCCAGAGTTAGTCCATACAGGCTATTCTCTAGTATTCATTTTGGACTGTTGATTATGCTTTTTTGCTACCCCTTATTACTCACTGTTACATGTATGAACAGATTTCAGTTCAAAATTATCTTGGAAGAACAGGCCAAAGATTCGTGTGTGTAAAGAAGGGCACTTTGATGTAAAAAGACCATTTGCTATTTGTGATTCATTATTGTCCTGTTTTTAAATTCTCAGCCAGTTAGAAAAAGAGCAGAAACCAAAATCACATGACATAGGCTTTAAATACAGAATACCAAATTGTGCAGCTCAGAATTTGATAATTGTTTGCACAAATAGATTTTCAATATCAAAGCAAACAAGAGAGAGCTTTTAAATTACTTTTTTATCCATAATGAATGATTAATTTTGTGATGTACATAAGCCTAGTCAAAAACCATTAGGCCTCACGTTTGGAAAATGACCTCATACTCTTAGTCAGCCACTTGCAAGAAACATCAGACTCGGTCTGGGCTGTGTGTTTTCTTTGATAAAGTAACTAAAATCAGAAGATACTAACCTTTGCTAGCAAATTGGATAAAGGCCGTAAACATGCACAAGCCAGATCACTAGCTAATTAAATCAGGATAATTTCATTCATCTGACGGAAATGCATCCATTTTTATTAGTGGTGATTACCCAGTATTATCTCAATTACCAAGATCTAGAAACAACTGCAAAAGAGTCTTCATGTGCCTCAAGGATTAGTTAGTTCCATGTCTGCTTTTCCCTGAGAAATTTTCTGTGGTAGCTAGGCATACCATACTTCAGAATTACACTTAAAATCATACTTCAAAAGTTAATTGAAACTGATCAATTCTATTTGACAAACAAGAAGATTCATGCCTTAGCAGACTTGAGGAACAAGCTCTAATGAGTCATGATCAAACCTCTACTGAAGTCCATCAGATGTTTTTTGGAGACCGTATGTTTACAAACATAGACACAGAATAGTGCCTGTTGTTTCAGATCAGAGATTTCTGCCATGCTTTTAACATCACAAAACCTACGATGGTTGTTGCCCAAGTTGAAGATATATACATTATTCCACTGTGATTACTTTCAGATAATCATGGATTTACAATGTTTTCCCTTTTCAGGCTACATTTTCAATGCAGTCTGTGCACAAATCTAAAATATTTATCTGTAACTCAATTGAAAACTGAGCTATTTTGGGATGCAACGAACAAATACACTTTCCTTAGAGGCAAATATGTAGCTTTAGTTTTGTAAAAGCCTCATAATGGAAAGAGTTAGGAGCAAAATTTGTTATGGAAATGCTGCATCTTTTGCATGTTCCACCATATATGGTATCGGTGATGGCACTGCTCAGTCTGATATTTACTGAATTTATCAGCGCTGAATGTCAGGACCAAATTTCGATGAACTTTTCAAGCAATACTAGATTATGTCATGAGTCTCAATAATGCACAGAAATATGTCCTGCATATTCTGCCTCTGGCATCAGCGAAGATGGGGATAGGCTACTGTTGCTGCCTCTGCCAAAGGCGGGCTTCACAGCTCACATTTCCCGACTCAGGGGCAGCAGGAGCAGAAAGCCTTGATTTCCTACAGACTTTTGTCTCCTCCTTGTCCTGTCCCCTCTTGACCCTATGCTTCACTGACCCCTCTTAACCCTCCTTCAGCTTCTGATCCATAAATCCCTTCCAAGCCATTGGTTTTCAAAATACCACTCTGATCCTTTAAAAGTCACCCGCCATCTTGACTTCCAGCTAAAATATCTGTCAATTGCCTGCAGTAACTTACTTGTTGTTTAAGACCAGCCAGATCTCTGGAGTACTCTGCCTGCCTAATCCAAAAGAGGATGGCATGGCTGTTGACCAAATCGTTCAAATATCTACTCAAAGAAAACAGAAAGTATGGAGTTGTTTTGGGTGTTGGTGCCCAGGTTGCTGGCAGCCGGGGCTGCAGGGACCTCTGTCAGGGGAGACCAGGGGCTGCCCTGTGCCAGACACAGCCAGTTCCAGCCAGCTCCAATGGATCCACCACAGGGCACAGCTGGGCCCGTCAGCCAAGATGGTGGTGCCTCCGTGAAAACATATTTAAGAAAGGGCAGAAAAGGCTGGAGGGCAAGAGGAGGAGGGAACAAAAGGAGTGAGAAACAGCACAGGGAACACCAAGGTGAGAGGAGGTAGAGGAGGAAGAGAAAGAGGAGGTACTCCATGGTGGAGCAGATATCCACACTGCAGCCTGTCGAGGACCTGCATTGGAGCAGGTGGATATTCCTGAGGGAACTGCAGCCTGTGGAGAGGACCTACGCTGGAGCAGGCAGAAAGTGTGAGGAGGAAGGAACGGCAGAGAGGAGCTGCTATGGACTGACCACAACCCCTCACACCCCATGCCCCTGGGTCTGCTCGGGGGGGGAGAGTCAGGAGTGATGTGGAGCATGAAAAAAGGCAGGGGAAGGTGTTCTTTGAATGTTTGCCTTTTTCTTCCCACTACTGGAATTAGCAATTAAATATCTATCTTAATTGGCATTAAACTAAGTTCATTTTCCCCAAGGTGAGTCCATTTTGCC